CAAGAATTATCAATTCATCTATCTATTCAATTATAACTTGCAGAGGATGAAAGTTCAATTAGATCATGGGTGGTGCACTAGTGGATGCGAGAAGCAGAGTCGCAAGATAGATTGTGGTAAAGCAATGCATGCTCTCTCCGTGGAGGGACTCATCTTGCTTACCTAATTCTGGAAAGTATTGCCTGTGGAATAGTGATTTGTAGAGGCCTTTTATATGCCTCTAGGAGACTAGAGGCATATAAAAGGCATTCTTTTGTAAAAGTGGTGACTCTGAAGAGCGGGGAAAGTCCTGGATGGCTATATGGCCAGCTAGAGGCAATGCTAAAGAATGCAGCTTCACTGAAATGAGGAACAAACAGGTTGCTTCAAAGAAACTGTGGCACTATCAAGGCTGGTGGAAATCCTCTAACATGCTGCGGACAAAGTACTCAGGGGAGCCACAAGGGGGAAATTTAGACATTGCTATTAAGAGTGACCCAGGTCATATGGTTTTTCAGTGGCCAATGTGTCAGAAAGAAGCTTTACTTCAGGACTTGTGGAAGTCTCCAATTAGGCTCAGGGTGGAGCACGCTGGCATGCCGAGGACTCAGGGAGACCATGGTCATGGCCAGAACATCTGAGGGTATGAGCAATGGCCCAGGCTCCACAGTTCAGACCACAGGAGTGAAAACTGGTTTCAGCTCCCAAAGGGGCACTCGGAAGGGTGTTGGGGGCGAGAGGTTTGAGCAGTGTAACGTGGGCTAGGCTTTAAGAAGAGGATGACTTAATTGTAGAACCACAGGAATTGCAGCTTCAATAAAAAGGTTTCAAAGGGTAAGCATTGATTGGTGTGTTAGATTGAACACAGCAAGATGATCGTGATCAGATTCTTGTTGTCTATGCCCGTTCAAAATGTTCCACTGTTGAGTTACATTTCCATATGATATCACTTAATAGATTCCTTTAGGACGGGGGAACGGAGAAAAAGGGAAGGGAAACCCTTGCATCACAAAAATAAAACGTGCATATCACTTGTAACACTTGTAATACTGTAATATAAGGAGAGGAAATGATGCTTCAGCTTTATAGAAACTTGGTCAGAACCCATCTGGAATACTGCGTTCAGCTTTGGGCACCGCACCTCAGGAAGAATATATTGGCCCTGGAGGGGGTGTAACGTGGATTCACCAGAATTATACCAGGGCTAAAAGGGTTCAATTGTGAGGATAGGTTGCATAAAGTTTATCTGTATTACTTTGTGTTTAGAAAGTTGAGGGGTGATCTGATTGAGGTTTTAAAATGATAAAGAGATTTGATAGGGCAGATACACAGAAACTATTTCCTCTGGTGTGAGAATCGAAAACGGGGGCATCATCTTAAATAGAGCTAGGCCATTTAGGAGTGAAATCAGGAGGCAGTTTTTCACCCAAAGGGGAGTGGAAATCTGGAACTCTCTTCCCCAAAAGGCTGTGGATGTTGGATCCATTGAAATTTTCAAGACTGAGATGGATGGATATTTGTTAGGTCAGGGTATCAAGGGTTACGGGGCAAGGGCGGGTAATTAGGGTTCAGGTACAGATCAGTCATGATCTTATAGAATGGCGGAACAGGCTCAAGGGGCTGAATGGCCTACTTCTGCTTCTATGTTGCTTATTACCAACAACATTTGTCATGTGACATAGAACTGTAAAAAGGCTACAGTTTTTCCTAGTTTTACCTCAAGCCTTGTGAGACCTCCCTTGCTGGAAGTTGAGATGTCCCTCCATTGGACAAGAGAAGGAGTATTGTGTCTCCAACCCCTCGATTACCCCAAAGTGTATATTGACAGACAACCAGGTTCCATATGTTTTCTCCTACCCTTTCAGTAATTGGTGGCATTTTCATCTCCGTGGTTCAAGAACAAATTGATACATTTCCATTTGTCATGTTTCTTGAATACGGACGGTGACAAGAAGACAGAGTTATGGTGGTGTATCTCCATTTTGGGTGTGTTTCCCAACTCTTCCATTGCAAGAAGCAAAAATTGTAGGAGCTGGTATTGGGGAAGAATGGGATCAAAGGGGCTGAAGAGCTATCTTCAACCAAATGGCTCTGTGAACCATGAGGATGGCAGCTGTCCTATCATTTGCAGCCATACATCTATAGTTTGGAATCAGTTGCATTTTGAAATGAAACCAAAATGGTTGCAACTTCACATTCCTACCAACATCCAACACACATCTATTTTATATTAAAATTATTCATTTATGGCTACATTCCTTTATTATCTGTGTATGTGTACTAATAAAACAAAGATTTTCAGGTTCACTAAATGTTCTGTTTACTCAAACCTTTTTTCTGACATAAATGTTTTGACTCTTGGAATGTTTTTAATCTGAAAAAAAAGTAGGAATTTGCATAAATGAGAACCATTCAGGACTGTGCCAAATAGGACTCATGTCCCACAGTTGGCAGTGGACATTTGATGGTGTAATTGTTGAGGCAGAATATAAACCAAATATGTTAAAAAGCATTGTCTATTTTCATAATGTATCATTTGTGGAAAAGAAAAGATTGAATATTTTGTTTTACCACAAATGATAATTAGAAGTAAAATGACTACATACCATAGGTTGCGTAAGTGCGAGGAACATTCCAGGCAAGACAGCACTTATGTTTTCCAGGCATCTTACTGTTTGTTTTGCATGGAAACTATTTCATAGAGAACACTTGAATCTGAAGGTTACGTCATAACTAAAGGTTGAACAACCCACAGGGTAGTAAGACCAAAGCTATTTATGGCCTCTCATCTCCTAAAAGCATTCAAACTCTGCCAACTGCAGAACTATGATATGTATATTTTTGTATACACTTGATCTAAGCTGCCGTTCTAGTGGGCATATGTTTTAAAATTAAAACGTCTCACTGTTGGAATTCAGGGAATCTTTATGAAGCCCATGTTAGGATACATTTTTTTGTATTCTGTGGAAGGAGTAGGTTTGATGGGCCAAATGGCTTTTTATGTTCCATGTTCATTGATATATAGTCAAAGAGTTAAATTGGAAGCAGTGAAAGTAAATTTGTTTTTGAGAGATGTACTGGGGACAAGACTTACCAAGACGGAATTTGTCTTCCTGCGAACCAACTAGTATACATCTTTTTTTTGTAGTCAGCCGGGTGTCTGACACATACAGAAACCCATCACCATGCTTAAGAGTATCCAAACTAAGCTGAGATTTCCATGTATCCCACCTAAACATGGAAATCCTAGAGATAGATTGTTGGAATGGAATGTGTATTCTCTCCCTGGAGGGAAGCATCTTGCTAACGTAATTCTGGAAAGTATTAGACGCAGGTTGGCAAGAGCCAAGGCTTGGGGACCTCAGAATGTGCATTGGGGTAACTGCTGGAGTCTAACCAGCTAAACCTGCATAGCTTGTCATTGACATTGCTGTCTGGCAAGCTTTCCCTCTGCTTGTCCAGCTAGGACCACCCTACCAGTTAGAGCTTTGGCTTGCAGGATTGACAGGAGCTGAGTAGGTTGACTCCCTGCCCTCAGTGACTGGTCTGCCCTTCCAAGTCCTGCCAATGAGCTAGGTTGGCTGTGCTGTCATCTGCAATTCCCTGGAATACTGCGGACTCTCCTTGCTCAGGAACAGGACTAGAGACTGCCACAGAGGGTTGGCTTGATTCCGACATTCCATTGCCAGGCATGTCACCTTGGAGCCAGCTCAGTTCTAAGGAGACCCCACTTACATCTGACTAAGTCAATAGCTGATAAATGATTAGAAATGTACGAATGCAGTTTATATTTGCTTGATTTCTTTTCAAACAGCCATTACGTGCATGTCTTTTATTTTGACAGTCTATTATAGCAGATTAAGATGCTGTTTGATTTAGACAGTGAGAGTAGAACTACAGGACATTGCCCGACTATAAGTTTAAATAACCATATAAAACGTTTTCGACATGATAGTTTTTTTGGAAAAAAAAGTCTGTGAGATGTTGTGCAACAGAAAGTCATTCCTGAAATGTCACTGTTGACTCCTACTGAACAAATACAAACATGTGGAAAGTACTTGAGGCTACACAGATAGTTTGCCCCCCCAGGGCTTTGCTGCTGTTGCGTTTGTGGTGTAAGAACCCTGGGGTGATGCCCTATAGTTTTTTTCCCAATATCCGGTGCCTACATAGGAAGTGGCTGGCATTTGGTCAACTTATCGGAGAAGGTATTGCCAAGATGAGGAACAATTTCTGTGGGGAATAACAGAAATTAATATGCAATCTACTCTTTGGCGAGCATATTATAGCTGCAGTGTGCTGTGCCACTTGGCAACATTGTTGTTAAACTATGTTGAGCAGACATTTTCAACTCAATTAAATCCCATTTCCCAACAAGTTATACTGAAAAACTTTAGAAAAACAAAATAATCGAGTTTCTGAGAACAATATAGTTCTAACTCACCTTGGTTTAAATCACCTGCTTCTCTTCTCTGTCCATGTACATACGTCGGATACATTGGAGGCTCACTGTTTGATCAGGAAGGAACAAGCTAGATTATGTTCTCTTGGGGAGTGTGTGAGGCACTTATATTAATAATAATCCTTGCATTTGATATAGTGGCTTATCATGTTAATGTTTGGTTTAATGTCTTTCCTGGAGATCCCGTGTAGCACAGAAAAGTAAGTGCAGTGTAATGGCTCTCGAGAAAACCTTGAAGGTATTGAGTGTAAGATGCAAGCGTCATCCATTCTAATGAATGATTCATCGGTAGTTGGATGTTGTGGTTGTGGTAGACACCAACATTTGTGCTGAGAAGTGGTGAAGGGTACTTTAGTTTTCTCATCAACCTATTTGTTGCATTTTGGATGGATCCCAAAGCAAACGATACATCAGGCATTAGTATAAATGGCTGTGTACAGCAGTGTAAAGGGCTGTGTACAGCAGTGTAAATGGTGCTGCAGAAATGACAATAGCAGAACAGATATTAAAATCGTGATCAATAAGGTGTGAAATTGATCCTTCTGTTCTTATTGTGCAGTAAGGTGAGCATTATGGAAGATGCTGATCAGAACATTCACCTGAAGAATCTTTCCAATCACCAGGCAACTAATGAGGAAGAATCTCTGAACCTGCTTTTCCTGGGTGACACTAACAGGATGATTGCTGAGGTAAGCACTTCAGTGATCCATTGACTTTCTTTGCTTTAAAATTTAGTGTTGCATTGTTTTGATTATGAGGCATGCTTCTTTCTTTGTCAGACATCCAATTAAATTGTCAAAATGCTATTGATGTTCATAACTTAAGCTGTGGAGGAAATTAAATATGTTGTGATCCGAGAATGCAAAGTCATATCAACGTGCGTCTTTGAAAAACATGATCATCTTACATGCTGTGTCTGGTGTGAGTGGGCAAATTAGTTGAGGTTCTTTGCCAGTGTTGGCAATTTATTGGCCTTCCTGTCAATTTTTCATGCCACCTGCAGAAGCACCTGCTCTTCAATTGACAGCTTCTGGAGCTGTGGCAATTAGTAGATGGAGTTGTATTCTGTAGTGTGTAGTGGTTTTACAGGCTGCAATCTATATTTTTTTCAAGATCTTATCTTTCGTATTAGAGTATGTGCTCTTTAGGGGCCAAGAATCTTTCACAGAAAGCCTGGATGGGTCAGATGCCAAGACACCCTGAGGCACCCTTGTGCACTCGATTGTGGTCGATTATACAGGGACAATGGCGAAGGATTAGTTGTCAGGCTTGGTTTGCTGTCTTTGCTGGAGATGCCATGTTACACAGCAAAGCAAAATGAAGGGATGAAAAACAAACAAATAATATTTTCTGCACTATTGGCCAAGGAAAAAGGCACATAAGAAGTCTGAGGAAAACGACTGTCATTTTATTTTTATGAAAACAAATGAAACCAAATTAAGTCAGAGCTGTACCAGCAACTCAAGATGAAATGAAAGCTGAACATGAGATATAAAGATCTAAAATACACTTGTAATTTAGAGTTCAAAAAGTATCAAATAGGAATCCACCTAGATATACTGAAGGTGTACTTCTTCCTCGCTGGACACGGTTCTTAATACCGACACCTGTGAAGCCAGGTTGTGCGTTCAACATTCAGACTGAAGCAGCATTCAGGTTAGAATGATTGTGAATTTACTCTTGAATGCAACGCAAACACATGATAACTTAGTGGTGTCAAGGCTCCGTCACTGTTAAGCTCTCTGAGACGATACCCTGCGTGCTATATAAATGCTGTTGTGGGTCTCAGACCCTCATGTTATAAGGTGGCTGTTAGGGTTGTCGTGTCATCGCTGTTGTCACTTTCTATGTGTTATGCACATTTGCTCTATCCACAGGAAATGACATCAGTGGCATTACCATACATGTGCAGGAGGCAGGAAGTGACGGAATTTCTAAATGTAGACCACGTGAGGTGCAAGATGTGGTGCACAGTTAGAATGCTAATAAATAATGCTGAAATATCCATTCAGTTTTCTGCCCTTCATGTTAAGAGCAGGTTTGCTGAGTTGAACAAAACCATTACCTTTATACAGCATCATCTTTGTTTTATTTAAGATGGACAAAATGATTCCCATCTGTTATGAAGACATTACTTTTATGGTCAGATATTATGCCTGTTTCATGCGCTGTTCCTCAGGGCTCTGTCCTCAGTCCCCTCCTCTTCATCCTCTACATGCTCCCCCTTGGTAACGTCATCCGCAGACATGGGGTAAATTTCCACATGTATTCGGATAACACCCAACTCTATCTCTTTGCCTCCACCCTGAACTCCAGGACTACTGAGATCCTGACCGACTGTCTGTCTGACATCAAGTCCTGGACGAGGGCCAACTTTCTCCAACTCAACGTCAGCAAGACCGAGGCCCTCCTGATTGGCTCTCACCAACGCCTCCGCACCTCAGGCGTTGGCAGCATCAGCCTCCACTGCTGCACACTCAACCTCATTAAGCCAGTCAGGAACCTGGGTATCTTGTTTGACCCTGAACTGTCCTTTCTCCCCCACATCTGTGCCATGACTGGCACTGCCTACCACCACCTCCGCAATATTGCTAGACTCCGCCACTGCCTCACCCCTCAGGCTGCTGAAACCCTCACCCATGCATTCGTCACATCAAGGCTCGATTACAGGAACTCCCTCCTCATCGGCCTTCCCTACTCTTCTATTCACAAGCTGCAGATCATCCAAAACTCTGCAGCTCGTGTAATAATAATAATAATAATCCTTGCATTTGATATAGCGCTTTTCACGTCGGGAGGACGTCCCAAAGCGCTTCACAGAATATACTGTAAAGTGAATTGACTGTATATTTGTGGGCAAACGCGGCAGCCAATTGCGCACAGCAATGTCCCACAAACAGTCGTAGATTGAAAATGACCAATTTATTATTGTTTTTTTGGTTTTGGAGGGATTATTATTAGGCGTGTGGAGTAAGGAAACTTGCCCAAGGTTTCGCCCTCTGCCTGGAATTGAACTCAGGTCTCTCGCTTGCAAAGCGAGTGCTCTAACCACTGAGCTACAGGACTCCACAAAGAGTGTACTCTCACTCACCAGGCTCCGTGACCCCATCACTCCCACCCTCGCCCGACTCCACTGGCTCCCCATCCCCCAGAGGATGGGGTTCAAGATCCTCGTCCTCACCTTTAAGGCCATCCATGGCTTTGCCCCCTCCTACTTTTCTCACCTGCTGACTCCCTATGAGCCTGCCCTCTGTTCAGCGGGCCCCGGCCTGCTCCATGTCTCCCGCCCGACCCGCCCTACCATCAGTGGCCGGGCTTTCACCCTCTCTGCGCCCACACTCTGGTACTCCATCCCACGGTCCCTTTGCATAGCTTCCTCCCTTGCCTCCTTCAAGGTCGGTCTCAAGACCTTTCTCATCGACCGTGGCTTTGGTCTCCCTCCCACCTCTCTGCCTTCCCTCACCCCTACACCACCCCTCCCCCATGCTCGGGCCCCGACACCTGACTGTTCAGCGCTTTGGGATGTCCTCCCGACGTGAAAGGCGCTATAATAGTAATTTTGTTGTTGTTGTTCCTGGCCACTTTTTATTACTGTATCAAACTCAATCAGTCCATCTGGGTTCACTGTTGGCACCAGAATACTGATATATTTTACCGATTTTGGATTATGTGGCATAGTATCACGTGGAGACTGTTATGCTGTCTGCAGTAACCATTTATAAACAATTAACACTTTCTTCAGTAAGAGGTGACAATCTGTTATCTTTACTCCCATTTTGCAGTTTCTAAAAGTATGCAGTGACAATCTAGCATGCCCACCCTTGTCCTCAGATATCTGATGATGCCTATGTATTAGTATTAGTAATATAATCAGCTGAGATTGTCAAAATAAGTTTAAAACCTCAGGTTGATGGTGGATTTTATTTTGCTTTAAAGACTAGGAAACGGCCTGAAACACTTATTTAATAGCATTGAATCAGTGAGTTTTTTTTAATGAGTTGTTTACAACAACTTGCACTTATAAAGTGCCCTCCACGCAGGGTAGTGTCTCAGAGTGCTTAGCAGTGGCGGAGCCTGACTCTGAGCTGCCAAAAGCACAGTCGAACAGGAGAATCTTCAGGCGGGACTTGAAAGAGGGGAGAGAGGGGACAAGGCGAAGAGATTGAGGGAGAGTGTTCCAGAGTTTTGGGGCATAGCGGCTGAAAGCACGACCTCCGATGGTGGGGCGGAGGGTGTGAGGGACAAGCAGAAGGCCTGTGCCAGCCAAGCAGAGGCGCCAGGTGGTGGATTGGAGAATGAGAAGGGTGGAGAAGTAGGGAGGTGCCAGGGACTGAATGGATTTGAACACAAGACTGAGGATCTTGGAAGTCGAGGTCCTCACTCTTACTGTTATTTCTGTATATGATATGTTACATAAAAATCTGTTATGGGGAATCATCTGCCATTTCTAACATACACACAAGGGTGCAAATATTGTCGTTGCTGAGTAGCCAATTGTTACAGAAACTGAGTTGTGCCCACGTCTGTGATTTTGAACTCTTTCTGTGCATGATAGATGATTTGCAAGTGGCAAAACAGGAGTGAAGGAACACAATTGAAGTAGTATGTCCAAGCACGCAAGAGTGCGATGACTGTTTCATGGGATTACCAGAGATACTGTGTAAATGGTGTTACAAACAGAACTGATTGGCACCAATTAAAACAAAAATATCAACCCTTTTTACCGTTCCATTCTGTTTTAAAATATTTTTCTGATCCTTCATCATTTATTGGCTGGAGATCACACCCCTGCACTCTAACTTGGCCAAAACCGTTGCACAAAACTTACAGAAATATCAGCTAAGAACTGCCATTTTATCATGCACATTTTGCCTTTTTGATATGCACTAAGATCCCAATAATCACTTTTTATAATAAAATCCTTGACTTTAAAATCAATGTCTCCAAGCATGTCACAGGGAATTACTATCAAATAATAATAATCCTTGCATTTGCTACAGCATCTTACTATGTCTTCGAGATGTCTCAATGTGCTTCAGAGAATATACTGTAAAGTGAATTGACTGTGTATTTTATGGACGAAACGTGTCACCAATGGCAAACAGCAGTATCCCACAAGCAGTCGTGAATTGAAGTAACCAATTTATTATTATTTTTTATTTTTATGAAGGAATTATTATCCCTGGAAAAGCGATCCGCCAATCAACTAACAACCAGGTTTCTACTTATTGCTAGGTAAACAGAGGCATGTGGAGTAAGGAAAGTTCGCCAGTGTTTTGCCCTCCTGGGAATCAAATCCAGGTTTCTTGCTTGAGAGGCGAGTACTCTAACCACTGAGCTACAGGACTCCAAATGTAGTGACTGTGTATTTGTAGGCAAATATGGCTGCCAATTTGTGCAAATTTATCTGGAAAATTGTTGGATACTGGGAGAAATTATTTTATTTTTGAGTAGTTCATAGGAATGATAGTGTCCATGTGAGCAAGGAAACAGGATCATACCTTGGTTTAATGTCTCATCAAAAGAACAGGACATTGGTTAATGAACTGGATTGTCAACATAAACTGTAAACTCAAAACCACAATCTTTTGGCTATGGGGTAAGAGAGTGCTATCAACTGAGTCAAGCTGACACCTGCAGTTTCTAAGAAGTAATGCAATTCAGAGCTGCACTTAATTTTTTTCTGAATGGGCAGACTGGCAACTGCCCTCACTCTTCTGCCAATTTCTCAGCATCTATGAAAGGATGAGTCAGAATAGAAGAGGCTGACTTCCCATCAACGTGCGTTCTCTGTCTTTTCACCCTGTGCAGATGTGTCTGTACTTAGCTCAAAATTTATCCCCGACAGAACAGCAATCCTTGGGGTCTGACAATAACTGGAGGCAATCTTGACACCTGCCATTCCATGAATTGGTGACATTTATCTCGAAGATCATTGGATAGTGGGAAAAACGCTTCTCTTACTGAATGGTGCATGGGAAAACGTTAACATCTACATGAATGGGCATCTTATGAGAACATCTCATCCAAAGGACAGAACCTTTGATAATTCAGCACTCCCTGGGGAGGGGCCGGTGGGGGGAAAGTGAGATCTGGATGTAGGAATCAAGGTAACCTCTGTGGTAGTCTTGGTAGTTTGGTTCATTTTCCAAGCAGGGCTGCAATATTCCAAGACACTGCTGATAGACAGCCACCGATTGACAGGACACAAAATGCACAGTCACTACACTTTACAGCATATCCTGCGAAGCGTTTTGGGACCTCCTCTTGATGTGAAAAACACTATAGAAAATATAGGATTACTATTACTAAGGAGAGTAGGGATTCTTCCCACTCAGCTTTTGTTAACTGTGCAAGCCAAAGCCCTAACTCGGGGAGGGGGCAGACTAAGCAACAACGACAACAACAAAATTACATTTGTAAAGCTCCTTTCACGTCGGGAGGACGTCCCAAGGTGCTGGACAGAGAGAGTTATGGACCCGAGCTTGGGGTCGGGGTGGGGGAGGGTGGAGGGCAGGGGGGAAGCAGGGAGATCGAAAGCACAGTTGAAGAGGAGGGTCTTGAGAAGGGGCTTGAAGGTGGCAAGGGAGGGGGCGAAACAGAGGGGGCTAGAGGAGAAACCGTTTGAGGAGATGAAGTGCAGGTGGTGTGAGAGTACGATCTGAACCATTCAAGGACAGATCTGTGGAGGTTGAGGTGAGAGGAGAGGCGGGGGATGAGGATAGATTCATTAATCGGGTCGACGGTGTCGAAAGCAGAAGAGAGGTCAGGGAGAACGAGGGAGGCAGAGGGAGCTTTGGTCGCAGACGGACAGAATGTCATTTGTCACTTTGACCAGGGCTGTTTCTGTGCTGTGGGCGGCACGGAAGCCCGATTGGAGGGGTTCGAGAAGGGAGTGATGGGAGAGGAATGAGCGAAGCTGAGAAGCAACAACTCGTTCCAGGACCTTGGAGAGGATGGGGAGGTAGTTAGGGAGTAGGGAAGGGTCCAGGAAGGGTTTTTTAAGGATAGGAGTGATGACAGCGTTTTTTAAAGGGGTGGGAATGGTACCAGAGGACAGGGAGAGGTTAACAATGTCAGTGAATAGAGGGACAAGGAGGTGGAGCTGGGAGGTAAGGAGAGGGGTAGGGATGGGGTCGAGGGAGCAGGTGGTCGGTTTCATACGGCTTATGGTGGTGATGAGAGGTGGGGGGAGACAGGTTCAAAGATGTGGAAGGAGGGATGGGTAGGGGCTGGGGTGAGAGGAGGAGATGGGGAGGGGGTGGACGTGGGTGGCAGAGAGGATGTGGAGGGAGAGATTGAGGGAGGAGATAAGGTGGAAAAGTCAGCAGAGGTAGGGCAGGAGGAGGTGAAGTGAAGGTTGAAATTGCCAAGGATGAGGAGGCATTCGGAGCAAAGGGAGAGGGAAGAAAGCAGTGGGTAGATTCCATAGTTTCAATAACAAGCTGTGCAGTTTTAGCCACTTAAGCTCTAGCAGTAAGCCAATACACACTCTGGGGTCTCTGAACCTTAGCTCTCTCCATCCTACCTTTTGGAATTGAGAAAACAGGGTGTATCCATCCAGGGAGAGAGTACGCATTCCATCCCAGACACAGAGACATTTTCATGTGTAGGCACAGATCGTTTTTCACATTTGTCGTGGATATGCCCACCAAAGAAATGACACATTTTGTTGGTACAAGAGCTGGGCTGTACAACCATGTTACCTTCAAATTAAATACATCTCTATTACACTCCATATGTTCGCCAAAATTGTGACAGGATGAATTTGGCATGGATAAACCAGCTGGAAAAAATCCTCTTGAATTCCACATTCCAATTTCATACTGACTGGAATGCACACCTCCTGAGGTTGTTTTCATGCTGACATGAGCTCAATAGGGAAGTGTGGCCTGAGCCCACGACATCAAATTGGTAGGTATCCAATTGCTTTGAAATTTAGTTCCAATCTCACTGTGATTCTAACACTGTGATTGTGTTAATTGACAATTGTGTGAATATCTTTTAGCACCACATTCACAGCTCTAACAGTGAAGGGAATCTGATTGCAGTGTCATGCTCACAATGATGTTATTTGCTGGCAATCGCCAGTGTAAATGAGGTATAATAATCTCTCATTGTGTGCCCACAATCCTGAAACTGGTTCTTTCCTGCTTCTGATTAGGAGTAGCTGGAAGCAACAACAATATTGTTTGTAAGTGTAAGCATGCTTTTGCTGACTATTGTGAAGAAATTTTATCTGGGTCTGGATATTGCATTTTTCCATCTCCAAAATTTGGCAGGTTCTTAGAAAAATTCTTAATTTTAAAGACATACGTTATTTAAGTTTGTAAGTTATTTTTGAGAACTACAAAAAAACTGACACCAGAATTAAGTCTGAATTCAACAATTTGCAAAATTCTGAATGTTCTGAAAAACTAAGAATATAGAGTAATTCTGGATTCAGGTGGAATGTCTCTCAGTTCATATTTTCAAAAAAATTTGATAACTTTTAAGAGAGAAGTAGATAATTATTTGGGGAGGACTAGTTTGCAGGGCTATGGGGAGAGAGCAGGGGAGTGGGATTGATTTGGATAGCTCTTTTCAGAGAGCTGGCACAGACACGATGGGCCGAATGGCCTCCTTCTGTGCTATAAAATTCTATGATTCTATGTTATAATTCTGATCTTTCAAAGTTCTGGAATACCAGTTAATCTTTTCTGAGGCCAAGTCTGCATTGTAATAGACAATTGGAAAGAAATTCCGCCTGGGTCTAGATTTACTTATGTTGCATTTTAGAATGTAGCATCCAGAATTTGGCAGGTTTTTAATTAGTTAATTTTGAAGCTAATTTGTTGTATGATTTCTTTTTAAAAAAAGCTGAATTCAACAATTTGCCAAACTTTTGATGATCTAAAATGTTATATGGAGTATATCTGCACTCAGTTGAAATTTCTCCCAAATGTATTTAGATTACGAGTACTTTCTGTGCAATATAAATGTATGTAAAGTCCACTCATCAGATAAAGTAACTCAGTGGTTAGAGCACTCGCTTTGCAAGCGAGAAACCTGAGTTCAATTCCAGGCAGAGGGCGAAACCTTGGGCAAGTTTCCTTACTCCACACGCCTAATAATAATCCCTCCAAAAACCAAAAACAATAATAAATTGGTCATTTTCAATCTACGACTGTTTGTGGGACATTGCTGTGTGCAATTGGCTGCCGCGTTCACCCACAAATATACAGTCAATTCACTTTACAGTGTGATCTGTGAAGCGCTTTGGGACGTCCTCCCGACGTGAAAAGCGCTATATCAAATGCAAGGATTATTATTAGTAGTAGTAACATTTTATGTGAGTCATCGATCAAAATGTTTTCTGGCACAGGAAGCACCAGAGATAATCCTGCTGTCATGATGGAAAAAACATAATCAAAGGCATGTCCCTGAAAAAGGCCTTATATTCAGGCATGGGAGATTTTTATATGATAAATGACACTGGGAAAAGGATTCTTCCTCCTCTGATCCTGTTAATACTACAAGCCAAAGCCTACTTTATGGTCACTAAGCCTTTGCTCTTGCCAACCTGGGCCTACCACATTACGGAGTTCGTTCGGTAAGCAGGATGCATCCCTACAGAGAGAGTATGTCCATTCCAGCAAAAGGAAAATGTCCATACATATGTGGAACTCTCAGTAGTTTGATTTGAAAATGTTGACTCATGTGCAAATGAATCGCCATGCTTAAGACATCTAGCTGACCCCCTCAAAAGACAAATGACAATACAAGGCACATATTTCTTAAAGGGACTGTGTCCCATGTGATTTTCTCAATGGATAGTATTATTTGTAATTGTACGTTGAACATCTTTCAGAGAATGAAGAAGACTTTGGTGGTTGGTGATCTGCCATTTGATCAAGTTGTACTTTTTGTTTTTTGATTGTCAAGACTCCGATGAACCAGGCCTCAACCCGCTCCCACTGCATTTTTACTATTCATATCTCAAGTCGAGAGTCTGGCTCTGCTACTATATGTCGTTCCAAGTTACACCTGGTGGATCTGGCTGGCTCAGAGCGTGTTACAAAGAGTGGAGTTGGAGGACAGCTACTGACGGAGGCTAAATACATCAACCTCTCGCTGAGTTACCTGGAACAGGTAGGGGGTTGAAGTCTATGCTAAACTAGTCTAATGGTAATAACTTCAGGCAATACTTATCTTATTCATCTCTTCAAAAACAAAAAACGGTTTCTACCAATGTGAGGGGACCATCCTTGACTTTATTTATGTCAACGTGTGCATTAGACACTATGTGTCGGACAGAAGAGCTAAAACGATGTGCTTTGTTTTTCAAACGCAGGTTATTATTGCACTTGCAGAAAAGAATCGCACCCATATTCCATATCGAAACTCAATGATGACTTCTGTTTTGCGAGACAGTCTGGGAGGAAACTGCATGACAACAATGATTGCGACAATATCTGTGGAAAAGAGGAACATGGAAGTATGTTCATAGGAACATATGAATAGGAATAAGCCATTTGGGTCAATCAGCTATCTTCTATTTTATTAGTTTATGGTAGCTCTCTCTCATTCCATTATATCTCTTAAAGTGTACTTCTCTATCTCTGTCTTAAATAACCATTGCCATTTCAGAAGAAAACAATGCCTCTAATTATTATAGCTGCTACAATATTAATCACAAATAAAACTCAAAGAAAGTGGTGTATTATTACATGTATTGCAAAGCATCTGAAGAATATTTCTCAGATGGGGATTGACCTACTGTGAATTTCCAGCAATCCAGTTTTGTTTACACACAATATATAAACTGCTTCTTGTTACTTTATCTGTCATCTTTAAGGTCAGCTAATGCAACAACAACAACAACAACAAGATTCCATTTATAAAGCGCCTTTCACGTCAGGAGGACGTCCCAAGGCGCTGCACAGTTGGGTCATGACCCGAGCAGGGGGGAAATGGTCAGGGTGAGGGGAGGGAAGGGAGGGAGCGAGGAGGGGGGAAATGGTCAGGGTGAGGGGAGGGAAGGGAGGGAGCGAGGAGGGGGAAGAGAGTCGAGAGGGGAGCTGAAGGCTCGGTCAAAGAGACAATGCCAATGTTGTATATCACTCTGTTTCAGCTTTGCTTTTATTATTATTTATGATTTATTTTTTTCAGGGGGTAATAATCCCTTCAAAATAAATAATAATAATTATTCAATCCATTCTCTGTAATTGCAGGAATCTATTTCGACATGTCGATTTGCACAGAGAGTTGCACTTATCAAGAATGAAGCTGTATTGAATGAAGAAATAGATCCTAGATTGGTAAGATTCCACATATCTGTGCAAAACAGAAGTATCAAGGCTATGGAAATTTCTCACAGTCTTAGGCTTGAGACCATTGTTTATAAATGCAATGTTTTGTAGAAGTATTGAAATTGATTAAATGGAGTCCTGTAGCTTAGTAGTTGGAGCATTCGCATCGCAAGCGAGAGGACCCTAATTTGATTCCTGGGCGGATGAAACGTTGGGCAAGTTTCCTTACTCCACATGCCTCTGTTTACCTAGCAGTAAGTAGAAACCCAGTTGTTAGTTGATTGGCGGATCACTTTCAGGGGGTAATAATCCCTTCAAAATAAATAATAATGATAATAATTTGGTCACTCAATCATAACTGTTTGTGGGACACTGCTGTATGCAATTAGCTGCTGCATTTCGCCCACAAACTATACAGTCACTACACGTTACAGTATATTCTGTGAAGTGCTTTGAGACGCCTCAAAGACATGATAAGGATTATTATTAAATCTTTTTAAGAAAACCAGCTTCTTAATCAAGACTAAATTTTATATTTTTCAAAAGTTCTGCACAATTTTAGCAGATCATGTTGAGGCTAAGACTACAAATAATTTAAGGCCTAGTTCTTTCCTAGAGGTCTTTGAGAGGAGGATACAAAACATTTACTGAACTATTACTGTAATTTTTATGCCTCAGGACTTCAAGCGAGTAGTAACAGAGTTGACTTGTTGTATTAAATTCTATCTTCCGCTGTTTGTCCAGTTAGGACCACCCTACCCATTAGCGCTTTGGGTTGCAGGGTTAACAAGAGCTGAGTGGGATCCCAGTGACTGGTCTGCCCTTCCAGGTCTTGCTGATGAGCCAGGCTGGCTGTGCTACCATCAGTGATAATTGACGTGTTCAAACATAAGAACCTCAGGGTGCTGTAGGACTTTGAATGGTCCATTGCAGCAAACGACAGTTTTAAAATTGATAAAAGGTATTTCACAGCACATGTGAACTCATGTATGAAGAGGGAATTAGAAGTTACTGAATTATGCAATCAACAACTAATAGAAATGCTTTACTTATTAACTGATGCTATTATGTTATCTAGGGCACCCGTAATTCACTCTGCACACATACCTTAACACATATTGCATAATAGACCCCAATGAAAAGCTACAATACAGTAACAGGAACTCATATGAAAATGTATATTGTGTTATATTTTCAAATGTTATCTTCTATTTTATAAATTTACAATCCTCTATTCCAGTATAGAACCTTTGCATTTCCATCACAGATCATGCTACCCTGCAGATTTGAACCGTTGAATCCCAGTGATGAATGTCATCATTTGCCAACTTAACTATGTATCTTGAGAAGCTTCTTAAGGCTAACCACCCTATGCTGAGTTTACTTTGTGCTAGGTAAACAATTAATAGAACTAGCTGTTGGAGTTGTGGTGAAGCACAGCGCATCTACTATATTGACTTGGGCTGAAAGAGATTGTATAACATTCAGGTTCTTTGGTGGGGTGGTCGAAATCATCGGGAAGAATGCAAGAATTTGAAATCAAATAAGTTATTTTGGTTAGGAACATGGTTTTGGTTAAGTAAAATATATGAATGTTTCTCCTTGCACAAACCTAACCATTCAGCACCGTTCAGGGTGGTTTGGCCCTTCACACTGAAGGCTTCAGAATGGTTGACCCCAAGCTTTCTTTGGCTCTTAATCTCAAAGAATGTCAAAATTCTTCACTCCCAATCTCTTTCTACTGTAGTTATGAAAAATGCCCAAGTGCCACACATTACAAAATGTACATTAATGATTCTTGACAGCTAGACCCAAACACAAGCATCAACTGTGTTTAGGACTGTGCTTCAGATGCAGATACTCTATAGCGTTCTCGGTGGTGAGCTTTAAGTTCACAGAATGTTTGGAAATTCCTTTGGAAAAGCTACAAGTTTTCCTATAATTGCAACACAAAGCCATGTGCACACTGTGTGATGTGTGTCCGCAAATTGTTCTCATCTCTGTTGAGTCATTATTTTTATGGCTTGGATTTTGGAGACTTGTGTTTAAAACTGAAAAAGAAATAGGTCTGATTATTTGCTGGAGCACTAATTACCAGCATGAAGTTATACATGGAATGCAGACACAGAAGGGTCACAGACAGAGTTCTGTATTGAAAGAGTCAAACAAACAAACATTCCAGGGCTTCTAAGCATTAGCTTGAAAAATAAGATTGCTACACTGCTGACATGGATATTTGCAAGAGATGAAGTTAGGATTGAGTGCAGTGGGAAGCAGTAAGGTTAAGCAGGGCTAACAATATCTGTTAACCCTTTTGCAATTTCAATAGAATTCAATTATTTAGGAGAAAGAAAGTGAAATTGAAAGTTATTGGAAGTGCAATTAAATGTGACTGAAAACTTTGCTGAAAGTGATGGTAACAATGGCCTACAAATAATGGCTTTAAATAATGGCTACAAATAATGGCTTTAAAGAGCAATTGGGTACTACACTTAGCACATTGATTCCACCAATAGCGCATTGCCTACAGTGAAGTGATTTAATTCAACTCTCATTTCATTGAGGACTGAACAAAATACATATTGGACAGAATCAAATAATGCTTTGGTTTATGACATTGCATTAATAAAAGTCATAATTACCTTATGACCAGGTAATGTCTGCTCTTTTAGCTGAGCAATGTTGTACCATAGGGAGATCTACAGGGAACATATTTTTTTAAAAGGAGGTATAATCAATAGAAAAGTGTCTCTTGTCTGGATATTTTTGGAAAACTTTTGTTCAGGCCAAGTATATGGAATATTTATAAATGTTTTTTAAATAAAAATTTGCATTTGCCACTGTTGAAGAACTAAATGTTCTTTATCGAACTTTGATTGATTTCCAAAGTGTGTAACCATCCGATGTCCTCAAATATTAGGGTTGAAAAATGTGATGCTTCATAACAGGAAAAAATCACTATAATTTTAATAGTCCTAACTTGATTATGTGTTGATTGAAAGAATGTTAACTATTTATCTCAAATAAATTAGTGTTATTGTGAGATCAGAGGGGAAAATAATCTTGATCGCTTTTCAGTCCAAGATAACTGATGAAGGCTGCTCCACAGTTTAATACGTAGAAGGCCACTTCTGATGAGAACATCATTGGTGTAACATTCATGATTTGTAAAAGGATTTCTAAATATACAACAACAGCTTGCATTTATCTGGCGCCCTTCACATAGGGGTAATTTGTCTTGTAGTACTGAGAAAGATAGGGTGCACTGCAAGCATCTCAAATACATCTCACAGCAGTGTGCTGGAACTCCGCTCAAGTCATTGATCTCATTTCTGACTTCTGTGAAGCCTGATCAGGTCATGGCCAAAGAAGACTCCATGGTATCAGGGTTTGAATGAAGTTCTGTTGTGTTAGTACAGTAAAGCTCATGTAAGTTGTATCAGTCCGGACCATAACATTTAATATGACTGATGTGAAGTCTGAATTGCGGATTTTAAAAAATGATTTGATCAATAATCTACTCTGCACGTTGATAATTCAAAGCAGCTGGTAAGTTCGCATGTGGTGACGGGTCAAGACTATGTTTCCCGCGATTGAATGTGTTGTGACCTGTTGCTACATGCACAATTATCAATGCATTGGAATCGCTTTGAATCGCGGGAAATTAAGTTCTTCTGTGTGTGTGTCGACAGATTCTAACTATGTTGCCCATGATTCAATGCAGCCTAAGTACGCAGGACAAGATGTCATTTCCCGTAATTCAATGCAGCTGTAAGATAGGCCAGTTACTAGGTGATAAATACGACTAGTACAAAGAAACCTAAGTGGCTTTGATAGGAAACTGAATGGGACTTGGGTGGATGTACGACTTAGGCGATCATACCATTCATAAAGATAAGATTTATGTGATTTTTACTGCATAAGACTCATTTGGATAACTGTAGGATTTTATATATAGAAATACTTTTATGAAGCTACACATAATTGGACCCCTATGTGAGCAGATCATCCAGAACTCTGCAGCTCATGTCCTCTCCTGTACCAGGCTCCATGACCCCATCACCCCCACTCTCATCCGGATCCACTGGTTCCCCAGAGGATACATATCGAAATCCTCGTCTTTGTCTTCAAAGCCCTCCACGGCTTTGCCCCTCCCTACCTCTGCGACCTGCTGACCCTGTATCGACCTGTCCGCTCCCTCCGCTCAGCAGGCTGCTCCACGTCCCCCGCCTAGCACGCCCCACCATCGGCAGTCGGGCCTTCTGCCTTTCTGCCCCCACCCTATGGAACTCCATCCCACATTCTCTTCGCCTTACTCCCTCCCTTGCCTCCTTCAAGGCACGCATTAAAACCCTTCTCTTCAATCGAACCTTTGGCCACCCTCCTACTCTCCCTGCCCTCCACCCCTCCTGATCCCAACCGTTGCTCGAGTCCAAATCCCTGACTGTCCAGCGCCTTGGGACGTCTTCCTACGTGAAAGGCGCTATACAAATGTAATATTGTATTGCATTGTATTAAGTAGATGTGATTAATTGCCAAAAATTGCTATAAAGATGTGTTTCTGATTCATAGTAGAAGAGGGTTTGCTTTTGTGAATTACATGCATATTGAAACAAACACTAGGAAAGTTTTGAAAAACTTTTTAGAATTGTAACAAAGTGAACTTTAGAAGAATATAATACACTGGTTTAGTTTTAGTTACTATCTGTAAGCAACAGCACCATCCAGAACAATGAGAGCCTGCAAGGCAATTCAAACTTCATTTGTGTGAGCTTTTAACTGTGGACATAGGCAATCAGAAATCTTCTGTCCTGGTCCTCCAAAGTTTCTGGGCGTCTCTTAGAAGTGAAAGACCAAAGTTACCGTATATATGTATAATCCTTAATTATGATGTAGCGTCTTTCATATTGAGAAAACGGCTCCAAGCGCTTCGCTGGATTTATTGTAAGGTATAGTGACTGGGTATTTTGTATTTCCTCAAATCCAAAATAGAAAGGATCTGTTCCGTC